TCCTTTGTATTTATAGTAGTCACAGTACACACATAAACCAATTCTGTGCTTTGGAACTCACCTCGTGTGATGCTCCTCAGCCAATTAAATAATTTGTTTAGAGCATGTCTGAAAACAGAAAACTCTGCGAGGAGACCAGATGCAGAAGTTCAAAGAAACAGACAGAAAAAAAAAGAGGGTTAAAGCTGAAATGGTTTACATGTGAAATGTAGCTAAGAAAAAAAAGAAGAAAATGGGAAATAACTTTTCAAGACAACTTTTCAAAAGCTCTTTTTATTTTTGAATGCTAACCTTATTTTATTTATTACTGTGTTATTATTAGAAAAACCTCCAGTTTGTTGTGAGAAATATGAATAATTGTTGTTGATATACTGTTGAAATGTACTTTTGCTTTACACTACTTTTTCTTATAAGCAAGACCTGCAGCACTGCATGTGGCAGAAGTCACTTCCCAAAGACTTCTTTCACACAGCACGACCACTGGTGATGGGTAAAGTGAAGGTAGTTATCAAACAGTCCTAACATGCTAATGAGGAATGAATGTTTACATGATATACACAAGATTTCCAACAATGTTGCTCTTTAAATTTGCTCTCAAGCTTTTCAACTTGAAATGAAATCCAAAGAGAAATATGAGGACAACATAGTTCACACAATCATTTGTTATGTGTAAATTGCAAAGTAAACCTTCTTATCTTTGTTGAAGTTTCAGAAAAATACAGTAGAGAGAATCAAAGCATCAGAAAGAATGTCGTTGTTTTTTCAGGACGTGAATTTATTTTAGTTTTTTTGGTCAACCTGTCTCATCACAAATCTCCCACTGTCCATATGCTGTGTGATTAATAACTAAGTATGTAATTCACTTACATTTCTATGGCACTAGATTACTACAGTCGTCCTTGGGGCACTTAATATTGTGAGTATAGACCTGACAATATTAAAGACAGAAGCCGAACCAGCCTCTATAAGCACCCGTCAGGCAGTACTGATGGGAATAAAAGCCTAAAAAAAATCCCGCTCAAAAACAACAGGAAGGGCAGCCATCTGCCTCACCTGGTTGCGGTTAAGGGAAAGCAAAGAAAAAAAATGTCTGAATTCTCTGTTTTACTATTATCTTTCCATTTTATTTACAGATAAGCAGAGGAGGAGAAATATAATAATACGAGCCAAGAAATGAAGGTTTCTCAGCAGCCGGTTTCTTTGAACAGTAACACTGTAATAACAGTTTAAGGCACCATGTATTGATCACAGATTTCCACTGTATTATTGTTGTATTTCTTTTAGCACAATGGGACTGGTATCTTCCATGTGGCGTGAACTTAATGTAAAATTTTAAAAGAACTTCAATATGTGTGGATCAATATGAAATATAAACGTATGTGACTGCAAGTGATCCACTGTTTTATCTCACAGTAATTAGACAGTTTCACCTTTCATCTCTTTTTATATTCTGACTCATACAATCTATTTTGTCACTACACTCTCAGTGGGAGAAATGACTGATTTTCCCATTCAGTTTAGTACGTAGGACCAAAAACAATCAGTGGTGACTACAATTCTCCATTTGATACTTTCTATGTGTTAAATTTAACACTAACACTAACCTGTATATTTTATAATCCAGAATCTCAGTAGTTAAGACGGTCTATATCATGGTATCACCATTTTTCCAGAAAAATTATGAACTGAAGGCCTGAAACAAGAAGCAGTGTGAGATAAATAAGGATCGTGTTAAACTGTAAATCATACAAAGCCAAGTTAATAGAATCGAAAGAATAAAAATAAAGTGTTGTGAATTCAATTTAAATACTTTCTTTATTCAACAGGTCTGGCAGTATTCAGCCTGGGTGTGGGTTGTGAAATTAAACTCAGCTTACATGTTGAAACCAAAAATAGCTTCTTCTTCTCACATAGGGCCAGGTGGGTTTGGGTAGGTTTTTTTTCCCTCTAAATAAATAACATCGTCATTTAAAAACTGCAATTTGTATTTACTTGGGTTATTATTGTCTAATATTAAAATTTATTTCCTGATATGAAACATTTAAGAGTGACATATAGGCAAAAACTAAGAAATCAGGAAGGGGTTAAATATTTTTTCACAGCACTCTATGGAGCTGGGAATGACTGTTGATCTTGCCTTAATGATGCATGCTCCCCATGTATCACATTGTACTGACATTAATGCCTCACTCTTGGATCAGCAAGGACAGTTACATGGTGAGTGACTGTAATATGGAAAGTTGTTATTCATGTATATTGGCCATGTATAATAAAAATTATAATAAGCACAGTTGTTTTTGCTGTTAACTTACTTTAATCTACAATATATCAATAAAATGCATAATGTCACATATGCAGCTCAAAGGATGTTGCTAATTAAAACAGCAAGCAGGGCATTTGCTCTCACTTCTGTTATAGTTTTAGTTTTAGCTTTCATCATGTTTTATGTTATTAAAGCTTACATTATTATTACTTTTTATTTCAAGTTGTTTTGATAATCAAAATTATTGCCACGGTTAGTGAGGCAAAACATGTGGAAATAGGAGTGAGAGGACCCAAGCGCAGACACACGGAGATGAGGTGGGATAAACAAAAAGCTAGCCTTTATTGTTGGATGCAAAAACACTTCAAAACAACTAACGAAAACCTAAACTGGGGACAGCTAGACATGGAACTGGAAACATAGAACTACAGAAAACCTGAAACCTCAAAACGCTTGGAGAGATACACATGGGATGATGAACAGAGGTATGCAGAGATAACGCAGACGATCTGCCAAGGAACAGAGGTCAACACGCACAGTATATACACACAGAGGGAAACGAGGAAATGGCACACAGCAGGGAGACACAGCTGACACTAATCAGATGAGAAGAGACCGGGAGGAAGCAAAACAGATTACACTGACATAGGACATGGACTTTCAAAGTAAAGCAGGAAACACACAAACATGGAGGCAAGGATGACAATAAAGACAGAACACAGAGACCTGAAACGTGGGACAGGAAGGCCCAGAGTAGACATAACACAGAACACAGGGGAGGCACATAATCAGTCTAGAAGTCATAATATAGTAAAGAACGAGGGAGCTAGAAATACTGAAAACTGAAACCAAGACACTAGCAGTGAAAACTTATGATGAAATCAAAGATCAATAATAGTACAAAACTCAAAACACTGGGTCGCAGACCCAGGACTGTGACAGTTATTATCCAAATTAACCCTAAATCGTAAAAGGCCATTTAATCTTTCAACAATATCGGCTGGCTGCCATTATAGCTTACCTGATTGAGAAGCTGTCCCATGTACTGAGGATTAGAGTCATTATTGCAGAAATACAGCTATTTCTTATTAACTGATGACAGCAGTTCTCCTAAGTGAAGGTCTAGAGCAAACAATAGTCAGGCTAAATTTTAGCTGTGTTGCTGCTGTAATGTAAAAGTGACCACTGAAAGACTCTACAGGACGTATATTGTATGAAACCTGGAGGTTGGCACTTTGGTGATTGTATTTGTTTGAATTATTGTCATTTATAATACAATATTCAACACTCAGTTTGCCCCTGCAGAGAATCAAGATTCTGTTTTTGTTGTTGTTGTTTATGGAGTGCATGCTTTCCTATTAAGAACTAATGAGCCGTGTGTTTTGTAACTTGTTTATAGCCAGAGTGAATTTGAAAACGTTTCGGTGTGTGACAGATTAATCATACTTTTCTTATTCACGTTATGTTTTGTATTACAAGGTGTCAACGGGTCTTGTGGACGTAGTTTCAGTTTGTAAATCTGTCTGTAAAATTACAGATGCTCTAGAGGCGAAGCTTAAAAGAATGTAGAGTTGGCAGCTGGTCCCGAGTAACCAGTAACCAAGCCCTAACTGACAAACTGACAAATCATTGCCATTTATCTACTACAGTCAAGGTAAAGAGAGCATTGTTCTCTTTGTTTGAATTACAAGTGAATAGAAAAGTCAGAACATCTAATCTTGTTGTTAGTTAAGATAATGCTATCTTAACTAACAACTGTCCGTCAGAATAATTGTAATGTTTCAATGCATGAATTTACATGAATCTTCAGATTCCATTACAGCAGCAGTGTTTATTTATAAGAATATAGTTTTATTATAAGTTTATTTATAAATTAAATATGAATAAAGTAAATAAGTAAAATGGTAAATAAATAAGTAAATAAATAAGTAAAATTCATATTTGTAGTAAAGTCAAAGTATGTTTTAGCATCAAAATAGAGTTGAAGTATCTAAAGTAAAAGTACTCTTAAAGCAAAAAAATCTTAAAAGCATGCATACTCTTATACAATATAACAGATCAAACATATTAATTAATTAATTTGTATATAATGTGGATCATTTTAATTATTTATATACTGCAGGGCAGCTTTATTTATATTATAGCAGCACAATAAATTTGTAGATATATATTTTCAAACCTTTAAAATAAATGGAAAGTGCTATATTTGCTATATCAGGAAGTAGAAAGAAGCATAGCAAAGAAATATTACGCATACATTTATCTATTGTAATGTGTAACATATTTCATACATGAGATTTTATGTGTTTTTGAGACCTCTGCATCATCAGTGGGATTTTCTTTCCACCATTGCAGTTGTACCAGAGCACAAAAGCTGTGTTTCCTCATCTGTGAAAGCATCAGCAAAAGGACAAAACCAGAACAGCAGGGTGAAATTAAACTCCACCCCATTGCTGACTTACTCGACCTGAGACAACCAATAAAAGTGAATTCACACATTCATGTGAGCAGTTGTGCAGAGAATACAGACACACATTGACAGATAATTACTTTCACTATCAGCATAAACTACAAAGTCTGCTCTGGAAACGAGCTGCAGAAAAGAGCTCCTGATACTGTGAGTACTAGAATGTTTGTGGAGGTCATTGAGGGGAAAAAAGGATTAGGTGGGTAAGGGAACTTTACGATTTTTTTTATCTGTGTATCTGCTCTGCTTAAAGCGTCTTTCAGAGAGAAAATGACCACACAGTCAGAGGACCATCTCTCCTGTCCCATCTGCCATGACATCTTTAAAGATCCTGTTATCTTGTCATGCAGCCACAGCTTTTGTAAAGCCTGTCTGCAGAGATGGTGGCTTGACAAACCAATAAAGCAATGTCCGGTTTGTAAGATGATATCTTTACAGAGTAATCCACCCCGTAACCTGGCTTTGAAGAACCTATGTGAAGCGTATTTACAGAACACAGATCAGAGAGCTTCAAGAGGTTCCCAGACACTTTGCACTGTGCATTCTGAGAATCTCAGGCTCTTCTGTCTGGACCATCAGGAGCCAGCGTGTGTTGTCTGTCGAGATTCAGCAGTGCACGTCAACCACAGATTCAGCCCCATCAATGAAGCTGCGCACACTCACAAACAGGAGCTCCAGGAATGTCTGAAGCCTTTAAAGGAGAAACTGAAGCTCTATGAGGAAGTTAAAGGGAAATGTGTTCAAACTGCAGAACACATTAGGGTTCAGACCCAGGAGACAGAAAAGCAGATTAAGCAGCAGTTTACGAAGCTTCGCCAGTTTCTACAAAACGAAGAGGATGCCAGGATTGCTGCTCTAAAAGATGAAGAGAAGCAAAAGAGTCAAAAGATGAAGGTAAAGATTGAAACTCTGAGCAGAAAGATTGCAGATCTTTCAGGCACAATCAGAGCCACAGAGAGGGAGGTGACAGCTGAAGACATCTCTTTCCTACACAACTACAAAGCTGCAGTGAAAAGAGTCCAGCAGCTATCTGTGCTTGATGTTCCTCAAATGGTTTCAGGTGCTCTGATTGATGTTGCTGAACACCTGGGCAACTTGTCCTTCAACATCTGGAGCAACATGAAGGACATTATTTCATATACTCCTGTGATTTTGGATCCAAACACTGCTCATCCAGATCTCATCTTATCTGAAAATCTAACCAGTGTGAGACGTGCAAGGAAACAGAAGGTTCCCGAAAACCCTGAAAGGATTTATCTCTATCCTTCCGTCCTCGGCTCTGAGGGCTTCAACTCAGATATTCACAGCTGGGATGCTGAAGTTGGAGACAGTCCAGTCTGGGCACTAGGAGTCTTTTCGAGATCTGCCAACAGTGAAGACAAAAAATGTAACTTATTAAAACTTGTTTTCTGTGATGGTGAGTACACAGCAAACTCCAGTGACGCCCCCCCAACTGTTCTCTCAATAAGAAAGAGATTTCAGAGGATCAGAGTTCATCTGGACTGGGACAAAGGAAAACTGTCATTCTCTGATCCTGATACTGACACACACATACACACCTTCAGACACACTTTTACTGAGACACAGTTCCCATATTTTAACTCAGTGAATCCACACCCTCTAAAGATATCACAACGTCCTCTCCATGTAGTTATGTAACGTGTGTGATGGTCGCTGTTGACAATAATCTTTCATCTTTCACTTTGACACACTTCATGGATTAGCAATGATCCCAGCAGAAAGAATGTAGACCCGGCTGTTGATCCTGTGCGACCAGTAACCCGTCAGGAACCAATTGTACCATAGATTCTATAAATAAGGATGTAACAACTATCATTGTTTGGTGGACTGAAGCAAACCTAATAGTATAATACATAACAAAATCCATCAATTTTCTTCTGCTTATCCAATAAGCAAAAGGAGCATTATGCTATATTCAATAATAAGATTTCATTTCTTTTAATTAGTGAGAGGGTTATTTTCCTGACGCAGCAAGACGACTCGTTTGGCACCCATTATTGCAGGTTTAAGGGATGTCAGCATTAAAGCCCTTTCACAATAAAATGTATTATGCACTGCACTGACTACTAGGTTTGAGGGGACCCCCAAAAAGGTTTTTGTGATCACTCATGGTTTTTACGTGTGCTATAAATGCCCACTCCTGTCACTCTGCATTTCTATTGGTCATGTGCATGTATGTCCACCAATGTGTGGTCAAAGTGTTCCCCACCTGGCTCGCTTATGGCACACTGCAGTCTGCTACATACAGCAGGAAACCATTCTTGCTTAAAGAATGGGTGTAACAGCAGAGTGGTACATTAGTCATGTTCCATGTAAAAGGGTTTTTAGCTTCATTTATTTTACCCAAATGTTGATCTTCATATACAAATGGGGCTTTTATCATTATAGATGTGCTCATGATAATTATTTGCATGCAAAGATTGATCAGAAAAAGATGACCCTTTATGCTTTTGCTCTTTTATTTATGTAAGGAAGTATTAAAGGAAGTAACCGTGCTTCTTCGACCTGAAATTGCTAAATATCAATCTACATGTTATGGTTTGTTTATGTCTGTGTTAATCTGCAAAGTAAACAGTGATCTGGTTATGATGTAAATGCAAAAATAAATAAATACCTGATGTGCGGATGAAACAGATTTCAGCTGACTGTCTGAACAGGACTCCTTTCATTTTTTATTCTCTTAGCACAGAAAGCAGCAGAGACCAAACTGTGGCAGCTGCATGGTGAAACTTTGTCTTTCTCTCCTTTGCTGCTCATTCTTGTCGGATTGCATTTAAGGTGACAAGAGTCAGCAGAGAGCTTCGGTCGATCTGCGGCTCAGGAGATTTAACCTGTAGCTGTAATCGCTATCGACATCACAGCAGCTTCCTCCTTCCTGCTGTGCGCCTAAGTGTGTAAATGGGACAGTTCTCACCAATTACAGCCCTCGTTCCACCTTGGGGGCATAGCAAAATAAATTTGGAAAGCTCTGAGAAGATGCAGAGGAGGGCAAAGCAATGTTTCTCATTGTTTCTAATTGCGATTTCTTTCGTGAGTCCTAAAGAATGTGTACTCTCCATTCCATTATATTATGAAGTACATGAAGGTAATGATGGTCATTGTATCTCATCTAATTATTACATCCCTTTACATGTCTGAGAGATGTGACAGACTAAACATTACCCATTGATCAATCATGCTTACAAGACTTTAATGTAAACAGACAATGGCAACTTTAGGGGTGTATACGACACTGGCTGTGTTGTGTTACTCAATTTCACAGTTCTGATTAACAGACACTGGCAGCGTTATTCATCTTTTGCTTCATCAGTTCTTGCAGTTGTACATAGGTGAGTGGTAGGAAAAAAGGCGTTTGGCAGAGCGCTCTGTGCTCATACTGGTCAACCATGCCAGACTTGAGAGAGCAGTCAGGTATGACTCCACCTGTACTGTGACCTCCCAGATGCAGCATCCATGTTTTAATGTTTTATGACACACTGTGTCACCCACTGTTGGCCGCACCCTAAACCATCTTAACTGGGCTTTGATCAGGTTGATTCTGTGTAGTCAAAAACCAGCACGAGATTGACACTGCACAATCAACTGCAGAAAACAGTTACCAGAAAATTCAGTATTTGTGAATGATGATTGGTAAAAGTGAGCAGTTATATCTTTCAGCTGCTCCTGTTAATGGTCACCTCAATGAATCACCTGCCCTACAGCAACACTCAGCATGACCTCCTCCACTACATCCTTGAACCTCCACTGTGGTCTTCTTCTTTTCTTCCTTCCTGGCAGCTCCATATTCAAGATCCTTTATCCAATATATGCAGTATTCCTCCTTTTCACACGTCCAAACCAACTCAGCCTGAGTTGTCTCACTGATGTACCCGTTTCCAGTGTTTATACAGTATTATATTATCAACTTTTTTATTAATGGGATATAAATTTCAGCCAACAGTGTTCTCTTGCATCAGTTTCCCCCTAATGCTTACAAAAAAGTGACTGACACTTTCTGCACTCTAACAGTCGTATGAAAAAAACGAACCCCAAAGGCTGCTAGAGATTATTACAACCTACAGTAACATTTGTTGCTGTAAATCCCTCTACATCTGTCATCCGCCTGTTCATCATTTTTCTTAACTGTTTCTCTAACTATGGTTATGGGAAGTTGGAGCCCATCTCAGCTGAAACTGAACCTGAGGCTATGTACTCTCTGGACTCTGAAGCTTCGTGCTCTGAGGCAAAAGTGCTAACCACCTAACTTCTTCCGTCTATACAGAAATTATAATGTAGTTATAAAGACATTGAGTCAGGAGGAGATATGCGAGGAAGGAAAGGCTGACCTTAGACTTTACTTCATCGCTCAAGCTGTACCCACTATTCTTTGGAAAAGTTGCAGCATATGGTAAGTTGCATTATTCTTTAAGTAATATTCTAATTATAAACCCAGAGCCATGCCTCCAGCAGTTAGTAGTAGGTGTTGATGAATAATGCAAATTTCTTTGAAATCGGATTCCTTCTTCTTCTTCTTCCTTTCTATGATTTTCTGCCATTTCTGAGCTCTGGAAAAAATACCAATATCGAGAACATTTTTTTAGTTTATTAGCAGAAATTCCCAGAAATCAGAAATTATTACTCAGTGGAGTTATAATGGGTTTACAATACATGGGTTTACCGGCCAGTAACAACAGCACTATGGTAACTAAAGACCCCATGGTGTTTTTAGAATATATACACAGTTAATTTATGTGCAGTATTAGAATAAAAAATGAGGGTGTTTTGATTATTTTACTACTGAGATAAAATGGTATAAAATGTCAAAGTAAGGATGTCCACCCTCTGTATTTATGTATCAAACCATTCTGTTTCTCTGTCTGTGAGTTGCATTTAAGCCTTTAATCTGTGGCCTGAGGGGCAGAGTGTGTGTTAGAGTATGTGTGCGAACAGGTGAGGCAAATAGACCATGACAGCAATAATGCTCCGTGTAATGGAAACAACCAGCACATCACAGTGGTGGTTCATTCTGCTCTCAGCTTCAGTTTGCTCCGTGAGTGTTACATTTAAAACTCACCTGTTCAGTCCTACATGGATGGAGGTCTAATAGGTTCAAGTTGAAAGTGCATCAGTGGGCAGGAGAGCAAGACACGGCTGGATTTCCTCTATAGTTTTGAAGTCCAGTGGATTTAATATTTCTGCAAATCACCATGATTTAATGACTACAATATTGCTTTATAGGCAAATTACTGTTTAGTAGATTGAGCAAGAGATGGTCTTTAGAGAGACAGTAATTCTGATATGGGAGCCAAAATGTGCATGCGTAGGGACCAATCGTGGTCATTGACGCTGTCGATGATTTTTTTTATCTCGTGTAAATATAAAATATATAAAAATATTTACATATCTTGATGAGATGATGAGATAATGCAGCCGTGTGTCACATGAGTGTGTCCTCTTTTGTATTTATTATGTCTTGAGCATGTCATGTCCAGATTTTCTGTTTTGATCCCTTGAATTTCTGGCGTCGCCACTTACACTTACACGTCTGCAATTTCAAACTTTAAACTTGCACTGAGAGCAAACATCAACCTCTATGGGAAATAGATCCAGTCTTAATGTCGAGAACAATCACTGTTAATGAGAGCTACAGTGCAAATAAGGAAAACTAGTAAATGTGGTCAGAACAAGACTCCCAGAAATAGAAGATGAAGCTATGCGGGAAGTCCACAAGAGCACAAGGAGACTACTAAATTTCTGTTACATGTTTTTTGGACATGGGTTACAATACATATGTAAAGATATGTAGATATAAGTGGTTATTTGTGTCAGTGTGCTTATCCCAGCGTTTTGTTTCACTATAAAGAGTTAATAAAAAAAACATATCTATCTGTCAGTTGGCATCTTTGCAATTCAGAAGTGCCCAGAATCCAAACAAGAATTAATTTAAGATCCAAATAATGAACATTTGTATGCAACACAAATATATGTATTGTTTTATGTCAGTCTAACAACAAAACATTAGCAAGCCCAAGGTGTTAACAAATGGTTCGTTGAAAAGCACTTCTACTAACAAAAGGTAACTGCTGCTCACAGCTGCTCAAAGCACTGAAGCAAAGCGCGCTACTGAGGAAAACTCTACAGGCAAACAAACACAGCTACTCACTAGCAGTTTAGAAACACACCTCAAGCTCACCACAGTACTGAAGCTGGCACTCACACTCTGAAACCGGGCAGCTCGTCTTCTCAGCTTTTATAGCTGTGTAGTTAATTGCTGCGTGGGCTGGTTTCTCAGGAGAAATGGATGGCAGCTGAATCGGTGGGAGTGAAGCACCGGCACACGGTAGGCCTGCTAAAGCCACAACAGGTGCAGCGTTAAACTGCCGACACTAATACAAACCATGGAATGCACAGAACATCTTTAATCTCTGCTGGAGACTCACATTGTAATCCCGTGTTCTTTTAAACATGCTAGTTCCTCAATTAAACAAGTCACTACTAGAATTATAACAAAAACATGATCTTAATGGAAAATAACAACAACAAAAAAACAAGAAACAACTGCAACACTCTTCTCAATTCATCTCCACCCCTCCACCCTGAAGCCATCTAAGCCTTTCCCACCAGCCCCTTCTCCTCTCTCCCTTTGCTCCCTGTCTCCT